ATGTGCTTGGCCTTTGCCCTACAGGTAGAAAACACACTTGAGGGTATAAATGAAACTCTGGAGCAATAACTGGTGAACCATGAAGGATAATCCACAGTAAGGTAAGACCTAGCAGGGAGAACTGAAGAGCAAAAAGACTCAAGATGAGCACCAGAGAAACCCAAAGGGAATTGAGGGAGGCAGGTCAGTAGGATAAGCCATCGAGGAACGAGACTCCTCTGGGAGTCAGGTTTTGGTCAAGGTCAACCCTAGGGATATATCTAGGAGGAGACAATGCTGAAGTGGGACAAAAATATAGTTAGGGGAGTGTAGCCCAAATTCAATGCCAGAAGCAGAATAAGAAGCAATGCATAGGGGTTCAAGCAAGGTTTGGACAAGTGAGGTTAGCAACTTCAGTCCTTCACTCATGACCTACCAAAAATCTTTTAAGGGAATTCTGATATTGTCACAAATTGCTAAATAAAAGGGAAGCTAAATCAATTAGGGCATCTTCCAGATATGTTTGGAACACATCTGAGGGTATAAATGAAACTCTGAAACAAGAACCAGTGAACTATGAAGGATAATCCACAGTAAGGTAAGACCTAGCAGGGAGAACTGAAGAGCAAAAAGACTCAAGATGACCACCAGAGAAAGGCAGGTCAGTAGGTTAAGCCATCAAGGAACGAGACTCCTCTTGGAGTCAGGTTTTGGTCAGGGTCAACCCTAGGGATATATCTAGGAGGAGACAATGCTGAAGTGGGACAGAAATATAGTTAGGGAGTGTAGGCCAAATTCAATGCCAGAAGTAGAACAGGAAGCAATGCATAGGGGGTTCAAGCAAGGTTTGGACAAGTGAGGTTAGCAACTTCAGTCCTTCACTCATGACCTACCAGAAATCTTTTAAGGGAATTCTGATATTGTCACAAGTTGCTAAATAAAAGGAAAGCTAAATCAATTAGGACATCTTCCAGATGTGTTTGGAACACATCTGAGGGTATAAATGAAACTCTGAAACAAGAACCGGTGAACCATGAAGGATAATCCACAGTAAGGTAAGACCTAGCAGGGAGAACTGAAGAGCAGAAAGACTCAAGATGAGCACCATAGAAACCCAAAGGGAAATGAGGGAGGTAGATTAGTAGAATAAGCCATCGAGGAACGAGACTCCTCTCGGAGTCAGGTTTTGGTCAGGGTCAACCCTAGGGACATATCTAGGAGGAGATAATGCTGAAATGGGACAGAAATATAGTCAGGGAGTGTAGCTCAAGTTCAATACCAAAAGTAGAACAGGAAGCAATGCATAGGGGAAAAAAAGGGCCAGGACAGTTGGGTTTAAGCAAGGTTTGGACAAGTGAGGTCCTTCACGCATGAGCTACCAAAAATCTTTTAAGGGAATTCTGATATTGTCACAAGTTGCTAAATAAAAGGGAAGCTGAATCAATTAGGACATGTTCCAGATGTGCTTGGAACACATCTGAGGGTAATAATGAAACTCTGTAGCAAGAACTGGTGAACCATGAAGGATAACCTGCAGTAAGGTAAAACCTAGCAGGGAGAACTGAAGAGCAAAAAGACTCAAGATGTGCACCAAAGAAACCCAAAGGGAATTGAGGGAGGCAGGTCAGTAGGATAAGCCATTGAGAAACGAGACTCCTCTCGGAGTTAGGTTTTGGTCAGGGTCAACCCTAGGGACATATCTAGGAGGAGACAATGCTGAAGTGGGACAGAAATATAATTAGGGAGTGTAGCCCAAGTTCAATGCCAGAAATAAAACAGGAAGGAATTCCTTAAACGGGTCAGAGCAGGTGGGGTTCAAACTAGGATCGGACAAGTGAGGTCAGCAACTTTAGTCAACCTCCACTCATGAGCTATCAAAACTGAATGAAGGGAATTTTGATAGCGCCAAAGATTTCTTATATAAAGGAAGCTGAACCAATAAGGGATTGCGCTGGATGTGCTTGGACATGGCCATACAGGTAGAAAACACACTTGAGGGTAGAAATGGAATGCTGGAGCACATGAGCCTGTGAACCATGAAGAAGAATGTGGAGTAAAGGAGGACCTAGCAGGGAAAGCTGAGGAGCACTTAGACTCAAGATGAGCACCAGAGGAACCCAAATGGAATTGAGTGAGCCATGCCAGTAAGATAATCCATCGAGGAGCGGAACTCCTTTTGGAAGAGTTTGCTCTCCCACGTTTTTCCCATGGTTTCCCATGTGGGTTTTTTTATGGTTTTTTTTGGAAAAACCTGGAGCTTCTGGTCCTCAAGTCTGTCCATGAATCAGCGTAAAGGAAGACATAGCAGGGGAAGCTGAGGAGCACCGAGACTGAAGATGAGCACCAGAAGACCCAAATGGAATTGAGTGAGCCATGCCAGTAGGATAATCCATCGAGGAGCGAGACTCCTTTTGGAAAAGTTTGCTCTCCCACATTTTTCCCATGGTTTCCCATGTGGGTTTTTTTTTTGTGTTTTTTGGAAAAACCTGGAGCTTTTGGTCCTCAAGCCTGTCCATGAATCACAGTAAAGGAGGACCTAGCAGGGGGAACTGAGGAGCACTTAGACTCAAGATGAGCATCAGAGGAACCCAAATGGAATTGAGTGAGCCTGGCCAGTAGGTTAATCCATCAAGGAGCAAGACTCCTTTTGTAAGAGTTTGCTCTCCCACGTTTTTCCCATGGTTTCCCATGTGGGGTTTTTGTTTTTTTTTTAAAAAACCTGGAGCTTCTGGTCCTCAAGAATGAATCAGAGTAAAGGAGGACCTAGCAGGGGAAGCTGAGGAGCACTTAGACTCAAGATGAGCACCAGAGGAACCAAAATGGAATTGAGTGAGCCATGCCAGTAGGATAATCCATCAAGGAGCAAGACTCCTTTTGGAAGAGTTTGCTCTCTCACGTTTTTCCCATGGTTTCCCATGTGGGGTTTTTTTTTTTTTTCAATTTTTTGGGAAAAACCTGGAGCTTCTGGTCCTCAAGTCTGTCCATGAATCAGAGTAAAGGAGGACCTAGCAGGGGAAGCTGAAGAGCACTTAGACTCAAGATGAGCACCAGAGGAACCCAAATGGAATTGAGTGAGCCATGCCAGTAGGATAATCAATCGAGGAGCGAGACTCCTCTTGGAAGAGTTTGCTCTCCCATGTTTTTCCCATGTGGGTTTTTTTTTTGTTCATTTTTTTGGAAAAAACCTGGAGCTTCTGGTCCTCAAGTATGAATCAGAGTAAAGGAGGACCTAGCAGGGGAAGCTGAGAAGCACTTAGACTCAAGATGAGCACCCGAGGAACCCAAATGGAATTGAGTGAGCCATACCAGTAGGATAATCCATCGAGGAGCGAGACTCATTTTGGAAGAGTTTGCTGTCCCGCATTTTTCCCATGGTTTCCCATGTGGGGTTTTCTGTGTTTTTTGGAAAAACCTGGAGTTTCTGGTCCTCAAGTATGAATCAGAGTAAAGGAAGACCTAGCAGGGGAAACTGAGGAGCACTTAGACTCAAGATGAGCACCAGAGGAACCCAAATGGAATCGACTGAGCCATGCCAGTAGGATAATCCATCGAGGAGCGAGACTCGTTTTGGAAGAGTTTGCTCTCCCATGTTTTTCCCATGTGGGGGTTTTTTATTCTCGTTTTTTTGGAAAAACCTGGAGCTTCTGGTCCTCGAGTCTATCCATGAATCAGAGCTTGGCCTGTAATATTCAGCAGCTTTTGGAAAGCTGAGCTCTCTCTTATTATAATATTTTCTGCTGCCTTTATGCTGATTCTATTACTTGATAAGCGGCGAGGAGGGCGGCTGGATCAATGAACTGAGAAACGCCATTTCAGCGCGGCATCCATGCTCATCGCCGTCCTTTGATGGAGGGGGGAGCGGCCTCTCTCGGCAGCCAGCCATCGGTACTCGGGTCGCGTTTTATGACACAAACAAAAACTATTTACTAACTCGAAAAATAGATTTACAGTGGTGAGGCACAGAGTGACCCTACAATCCGATCGTTCGATCCCTTCAATCGATAGATAATCAATCTAGATGTTCTGATGAAGATTGAACCATGATTCTTTCCCTTTTTATTTCCTTTTTATTCAAGGTCAAAATAGAAAAGAAGAAATGAGGCAAATGCATGTCTAAGGCCCGGTTCACGCTGTCACCTCCAGGGGCGGACTGACCATTTGGAAACTCGGGCACTGCCCGAGGGCCCGGGGTCAGCAGGGGGCCCCATGAGATGCCCCTAGTACCTTTTTCATAGGCTTTTTTGAGTGTGGGCAAGGACACAGGGGCCCCATGATCCCCTACTGCCCAGGAGCCCCATGAGTTTTCAATCCGCATAATTTTGAACTGAGCCTGAAGCAGGTCCCCATCAGAGTCTCCCCCTTACATTGGTGTCCCTATCAGTGTACATCTTATGTCAGAACCCCCCCTTACATCAGGTGTCCCCATCAGAGTCCCCCTTACATAAGGTACCCCATCACAGTCCCCCTTACATCAGGTGTCCCCATCAGAGTCCACTTTACATCAGGTGTCCCCATCAGAGCTACGCTTACATCAGGTGTCCCCATCAGAGTCCCCCCCCCCCCCCCTTACATCTGGTGTCCCCATCAAAGTCCCCCTTACATCAGGTGTCCCCATCCGAGTCCTCCTTCCGTTGGTGCCCCTATCAGAATTCCTCTAACATCAGCTGCCCCACTGGAGTCCAGCTTACATCAGGTGCCCCCTAGGAGTCTTCCTAAGATTGGGTGTCACAATCAGAGTCCCCCTTTACATTGGTGCCACTTTCAGAATCCCTCTAACATCAGGTGTCCCCATCAGAGTGTTCCTTATATCAGTTGTCCCCATCAGAGTCTCCCCTTATGTTGATGATCCTATCAGAATTCCTCTAACATCAGCTTCCCCATCACAGCCAGCCTTACATCAGGTGCCCCCCTAAGAGTCTTCCTAAGATTGGGTGTCTCCATAACTGTCCCCCCTTACATTGCTGCCCCTTTCAGAATCCCTCTAACATCAGATGTCCTCATCAGAGTCCCCCCTTACATCAGGTGTCCCCATCAGAGTGCTCCTTACATCAGGTGTCCCCATCAGTTCCCCCTTACATCAGGTGTCCCCATCAGAGTGCTCCTTACATCAGGTGTCCCCATCAGTTCCCCCTTACATCAGGTGTCCCCATCAGAGTGCTCCTTACGTCAGGTGTCCCCATCAGAGTGCTCCTTACATCAGGTGTCACCATCAGAGTTCCCCCTTACATCAGGTGTCCCCATCAGAGTTCCCCCTTACATCAGGTGTCCCCATCAGAATGCTCCTTACATCAGGTGTCCCCATCAGAGTTCCCCCTTACATCAGGTGTCCCCATCAGAGTTCCCCCTTACATCAGGTGTCCCCATCAGAGTCTCTCCCTACGTTGGTGCCCCTATCAGAATTCCTTTAACATCAGCTGCCCCATCAGAGTCCGCCTTACATCAGGTGCCCACTAAGAGTCCTCCTATATCAGGTGTCCCTATCACAGGGACCCCTTACAGTGCTGGGACATCCAGTGCTCAGATCAAAGATGGAGAATTGCCCAACCTGCCAACTCCAAACCAACAATGGTGAAGAAAAAAAGGTCTCTGTATTAGTGGTATCACTGGAAGGAACAATTTCCCTGTATTGGTGGTGTCACTGGAAGGAAAAATATTCCTGTATTGGTGGTGTCACTAGAAGGAAAAATATTCCTGTATTGGTGGTGTCACTGGAAGGAAAAAATGTTCCTGTGTCAGTGGTCTCGCTGGAAGGAAACATCCCTGTATTGATGGTGTCACTGGAAGGGAAAATGTCCCTGTATTGGTGGTGTCACTGGAAGGAAAAATGTCCCTGCATCAGTGGTGTCACTGGAAGGAAAAATGCCCCTGTACTGGTGGTGTCAATGGAAGGAAAAAATGTTCCTGCGTCGGTGGTCTCGCTGGAAGGAAAAATGTCCTTTCATCAGCGGTGTCACTGGAATGAAAAATGCTCCTGTATAAGTGGTATCACGTGAAGGAACAATTTCCCTGTATTGGTGGTGTCACTGGAAGGAAAATGTCCCTGCACTGGTGGTGTCATTGGAAGGAAAAAATGGCCCGGGGTCGGTAGCGTCACTGAAAGGAAAAAATGGCCCGGGGTCGGTAGTGTCACTGGAAGGAAAAAACATACCTGTGTTGGTGGTGTCACTGGAAGGAAAAAATGGCCCGGGGTCGGTAGTGTCACTGGAAGGAAAAACATACCTGTGTTGGTGGTGTCACTGGAAGGAAAAAATGGCCCGGGGTCGGTACTGAAAGGAAAAAAATGGCCCGGGGTCGGTAGCGTCACTGAAAGGAAAAAATGGCCCGGGGTCGGTAGCGTCACTGAAAGGAAAAAAATGGCCCGGGGTCGGTAGTGTCACTGGAAGGAAAAAACATACCTGTGTTGGTGGTGTCACTGGAAGGAAAAATGTCCCTGCATTGGTGGTGTCATTGGAAGGTCACTGGTGCAGCGGTAAGTACAACAGAGAGCGGTTGCTGCAGGGACGGGCTGACCATTTGGAAATGCGGGCACTGCCCAAGGGCCCGGGGTCAGTAGGGGGCCCCATGAGATGCCCCTGGTACCTTTTCATAGGCTTTTTTGAGTTTGGGCAAGGACACAGGGGCCCCATGATTCCCTATTGCCCGGGGGCCCCATGAGTTGTCAGTCCACCCCTGGGTTGGTGGGTCATGCAGGTCAATCGCTGACACACACTGCGATTGGCAGTCTAATCCCCCGGCCACTCCTCACCCCCCCCCCCCCCCCCAGCTGTTTTTATCACAATTTTCATCCCGCACAGGTAATGCGCATATTTAATTCGCTCGACTCTAACCGCCGTTCCTCCGACGTGTCTTCATTGCTCTCTGAAGCGCCGTTCTATTTCTGGCGTGGGAGCGCGGCGTCTCTCATAATAAGTGAGAGCAATTAAAATGGAGGCACACTGTGCCGTACGGGACGCTCAGCGCTCCATAATTGATCTCCTAGTAGAGAATATTAGGCCGGTAATAGAAATTGCTTTCTTATGACTCTCCGACAGTCAGCGAAAGTTTCACGTGTTTCCTCCCCGCGGCCACCGCAGGCGCTACGTCCCCAAAGTTTCCATAATCGCCCTAATGGCTCCTCCCAAACGGGTCCTGCGCTGACTAATGACGACCCATTGCGCTTCGCCGCTCCGCGGTAACAGCGCCGCTCCCCGGCTGTCACTGTCATTCCATTCTTCATATAGGTTACACATTCGCCATCTAGAGGCCAACTGTATGTCAGTCAGTAAAACCAGCATCGTGCTTAACAACTGCCACGGATACGTGGTCTGTCAGAGATTGTGCGTTACCCGTTCATGAGTGGCCTCTCCGCTTTATACCAGGGGGTGTGCGGTCTTTCATCCACTGATGCGTCGACTTTTGCTTTTATACCAGGATGTATGTTCTTTATCCCACTAATTTGTGGTCTTTTTGCATCTATTTCGGGGTCTACGGTCTTCATTCCTCTGATTTGGGGTCTCTTTTGTGTCTATATCCAGGTCTATGGTCTTTAATCTACTGATTTGTGATCTTTTTGCATCTATTTTGGGGTCTATGGTCTTTAATCCACTGATTTGTGGTCTTTTTGCGTCTATTTCAGGGTCTATGGTCTTCAATCCACTGATTTGTGGTCTTTTTCAGGGTTTATGGTCTTCAATCCACTGACTTGTGGTCTTTTTGCGTCTATTTCAGGGTCTATATTGTTTAATCCACTGATTTGTGGTTTTTTTTGCGTCTATTTTCGGGGGTCTACGGTCTTTAATCCATTGATTTGTGGTCTTTTCGCATCTATTTCAGTGTCTACTGTCTTTAATCCACTGATTTGTGGTCTTTTTGCTTCTATTTCAGGGTCTACGGTCTTTAATCCATTGATTTGTGGTCTTTTTGCGTCTATTTCAGTGTCTACGGTCTTTAATCCACTGATTTGTGGTCTTTTGTGTCTATTTCAGGGCTAGGGGGTCTTTAATCCATTGATTTGTGGTCTTTTGTTTTTATACCAGGGTGTATGGTCTTCATACCAGGCCGTGTGGTCTTTATTCCACTGATTTGTGGTCTTTTTGCTTCTATTTCAGTGTCTACGGTCTTTAATCCACTGATTTGTGGTCTTTTGTGTCTATTTCAGGGCTAGGGGTCTTTAATCCATTGATTTGTGGTCTTTTGGTTTTATCCCAGGGTGTATGGTCTTCATACCAGGCCGTGTGGTCTTTATTCCACTGATTTGTGGTCTTTTGCATCTATTTCAGGGTTAGGGGTATTTAATCCATTGATTTGTGGTCTTTTAGTTTTGTACCAGGATGTGTGGTCTTTATTGTGGTCTTTTGTGTCTATTTCAGGTGTGTACGGTCTTCATTTTCCACTGATTTGTGGTCTTTTTTGCGTCTATTTCAGGGTGTTTTCATTCCATTGATTTGTGGTCTTTTTGCGTCTATTTCAGTGTCTACGGTCTTTAATCCACTGATTTGTGGTCTTTTTGCATCTATTTCAGTGTCTACGGTCTTTAATCCACTAATTTGTGGTCTTTTGTGTTTTATACCAGGGTTCAGTCTTCTACCAGGGTGGTCTTTATTCCACTGATTTGTGGTCTTTTGCATCTATTTCAGGGTTAGAGGTCTTTAATCCATTGATTTGTGGTCTTTTAGTTTTGTACCAGGATGTGTGGTCTTTTGTGTCTATTTCAGGGTGTTGTACGGTCTTCATTTCACTGATTTGTGATCTTTTTGCGTCTATTTCAGTGTCTACGGTCTTTAATCCACTGATTTGTGGTCTTTTTGCATCTATTTCAGTGTTTACGGTCTTTAATCCACTAATTTGTGGCTTTTTGTGTCTATTTCAGTGTCTATGGTCCTTACTCCACTGATTTGTGGTCTTTTGCGTCTATTTCAGGGCTAGGGGTCTTTAATCCACTGATTTGTGGTCTTTTGCATCTATTTTATGGCTAGGGGTCTTTATTCCATTGATTTGTGGTCTTTTGGTTTTATACCAGGGTGTATGGTCTTCATACCAGGCCGTGTGGTCTTTATTCCACTGATTTGTGGCCTTTTGCGTCTATTTCAGGGTTAGGGGTCTTTAATCCATTGATTTGTGGTCTTTTGGTTTTGTACCAGGATGTGTGGTCTTTATTGTGGTCTTTTGTGTCTATTTTAGGGTGTACGGTCTTCATTCCACTGATTTGTGGTCTTTTGCGTCTATTTCAGGGTCTACGGCCTTTAATCCACTAATTTGTGGTCTTTTTGTGTCTATTTCAGTGTCTATGGTCCTTAATCCATTGATTTGTGGTCTTTTTGCGTCTATTTCAGTGTCTACGGTCTTTATCCACTGATTTGTGGTCTTTTTGCATCTATTTCAGTGTCTACGGTCTTTAATCCACTAATTTGTGGTCTTTTTGTGCCTATTTCAGTGTCTATGGTCTTTAATCCACTGATTTGTGGTCTTTTGCATCTATTTCAGGGCTAAGGGTCTTTAATCCATTGATTTGTGGTCTTTTGGTTTTATACCAGGGTGTTTGGTCTTCATTTCACTGATTTGTGGTCTTTTGCATTTATTTCAGGGCTAGGGGTCTTTAATCCACTAATTTGTGGTCTTTTTAGTTTTATACTAAGGTATGTGGTCCTCATACCAGTCTGTGTGGTCTTCATTCCACTGATTTGTGGTCTTTTGGTTTTATACCAAGATATGTGGTCCTCATACCAGGCGGTGTGGTATTTCTTCCACTGATTTGTGGTCTTTTGGTTTTTATACCAAGATATGGGGTCCTCATACCAGGCTGTGTGGTCTTCATTCCACTGATTTGTGGTCTTTTGTGTCTATTTCAGGGCGTGCGATCTTTAATCCTCTGACATTCACGCTTCCTGCTGCAGAATTTGAATCGCCCTCCAAGTTGCGGTCACAACAGGCGAGTTCTGCGCCAAATCTTATTACCGTCCATCCGCCACATCTGGGCGTAGCGAATGGCTCCTAATTCCCCCGCCAATCACAGCTGAGGGATTCCCCAGCCCACCACCAGAGCCATGTGCGTTCCGCCGCACTTCAATCCCCAGAGTGCCCCCCCCCACCACCGGCTCAGCTGGGAGGAGGTCACGCTCCACACAGGATTTATGTCATAATTAATGGGCCAAATTCAGAAAGGTCAAAGTCGAAATTTCTTTGCATTTTTTCCACTTATGAAATGTCCGTCTTCGGAAAGCTGCTCGGAATTTATATCTGGAGCCTCCGTGTGATTTGTATTCTGTTGAGTCCCTCATTTCCTGTGTTGTCACCAGGACAGGAAGTACATAAAAAAGGGGAGGGAGGGTCACAGGCACACTGTGGGGAGAAATGGGAACCTCTGCTGTGTGGTCACCAGAACAGGAAGTGAAGGACGATTTCCCCAATGGGGACACCAATGCTAAGAAAATTCGGACACAATTTTTATTCCTTTCCCACTTCAACCAAAACAGAAAAAAAGGAATTTTCTCAAATCTGTGAAATCCATCGGCGACCTTTATAAACGCAGAATGTTGATGAATAATTAGCGGCTGTCAAATCCGGAAAATGTGAATAATGACTTCTTCA